AATACCGGGATTGAGATTTTGCTGCGGGATTGCATTCCCTAGTCCGCACTGTTAAAAGCGCCTTAAAAATAGGTAAACCACGGTAAATACCCTAAATAAATTCTCCCTGGGTATTTGACAATTCCCTTCAACCTTCCTAGATGTAAGAAAATACAAAACAAACCCTAGACATACATTTTTGACCCATTTTATGGGCGGGTATTGAAATGCTACCTTGCGCTTAAGAAACCCGCTATAGCAAGTGCCGTCCGGGGTTACGGGGGTGGCGGCATAGCTGAAATTGAACCTTAGGGTGTCTAGAACATCCTCTGAAAGTTTCATAAAGTTATCACAAAATGCAAGGTTGAAACCTATTTTGGCTATTATTATTATTATTATTATTATTATTACTTTGTTGCGTATAACGGTTTCTGAGAAAATTTGATTCAAAGGTTATAAGGGACAGTATCCACCCCTCAACAGTATCTAGTTAAAATACTAAGCAAAAAGTCTCATTAAAGAAGAAAGTAGGTATATTCGTCTCTCGGTTGCAGTGTAACTTTTTTATTATACACTGCCCTGAACTATAGGGATGCGTTTCATATTTCAAGCTTGAGCAGTTCTACACGAACATCGGTTTTCAGATCCAAAAGATCATTGCAGTTCTTGCGGCTAAGGTGTATTCAATCAATCAACATTAACGGTTTTAATAGCCCTTATCGTCAGTTCGAATTACTTAAAAATAAATGTAAATTAATCCTTAACCTAATTTAATTAATCTGGCTCAGAATCTTTCGGTATTATTCCACCTTAAAGGTATTTGTAAAAAAGGGGAAAAATTGAAACAAATACGCAATGATCGTTCGAAAACAAAGTCTTTGTTTGTTCGCTTCAAATCCATAAATGATTACTTACCTCTTATTTATACGGCAAGATTGATTTCCTGCTATATATTATATTGGCAAATTGTGTAATTTAAGATTTTGATTATTTTAAACTAAACGACGTTTATAATTGGAAAACAATTCGATTAAGCTATCACAATAACGTCAAATTTCATGGTTAATCGTATTTTTAAAAGCTGCTGTATTCGTCACAGTAATATCCATTTCTCTGGTACGAAATACATGCAAAATGGCCAGTTATTAAGTTGCGGGCGACTTCCGGGATAGGACCGTGTTAATGTTCAAAGAAAAGTCATCGTTTCGCCCACTTTCGGACCGGGCTTCATCAAGACAAGAAACAAAATAACAATTTAAATTTCTATTGGCCAAATTAATTTCAGACTTGCTACATAAGGTAATGGGTATGCAGAAAACAGTTTCTCATATAATAAGGGGCCTTTGAGACGTGAAATGATACGATCCATAATAATATGTACTGTTATAACTACGCACGGTTCTGGAACATTTTGTTTTACAAATGAATACATTAGGACCCGCAGTACAAATGAGTTTAAAGTCACATAAAATGCTTGGACAAAAGTCTAAGTCTAGAAATTCGGGCAAAAGATCAGTGACTGAGTAACCCGAACCGGTCCACCAAAATAAATCCCCCCTCCCCTCTCTTCTCCCATTCGCCTAATGACAGCTTAGTGGGTGCAATGAAAACAGATATGTACAGTGTGTTCCAAATTGCTGGTTTTCCATGTTTTTGGGCGATATTCTCAGAACTAAAAGAGATAGAGTGATGTCACTGTATATTGTGCATGTTTTTCAAACTGGGTTGTATCTGGACGGTGACTCAATTTATGTAATTGCAGACTCGAATGCAGTGCTTACATTCTTAACCGCGTTTGAAAGAAAACCTTAAAATATGCTACTTTATTGTTAATAAGGGAACACAAATTCGCATTGCTGTTATGTTTATTTTTGAAATTCGAATCCCAATAACTTAATGGGAAACCATGAGTGAAATATGAACTATAAAATAAAATAAGTTTTATTAAACAAGGAGAGGATCTTTACGTCATTCACATAAAGAGCCGCACGATTGAAAATTAATGATATTATCACTGGACATCTTAAAATTAAATTATTAGTTATAAATTACTATAATTACAACAGATAGTTCTCTGGAAGGAACATTTAGCCGCCTATAAACATTACTGTTTATCTTGTTTGATAATAGTTCATAGCAGTCGAGATAGCTGCGCGTGCGATTTCACTGTCACAAGGGCTGTTGTCCCAAAACGCCCCATTACACCCTAACTGTTCGAAGCAATCGTAGCTGACTGTATTGGATGATGCCGAACAACAGGATATGATGGCCCAGACACATCGGCTGGGTTGATTCCCGATTGAAGGTGCAGGAGGCTGGTTTTCAACCACCGGCTCACGACTCGGCGTAATCTCGTTGTTCGTGGTTTCGCTGTCGGCCGGTCGTACTATGGGCGGATGGGTTACCGGAGGTCTCGGTTTTCTTGTGGGTGGCACCGTTGCGGGCTCGTTGACCGTACCCCAAATCGGTCCATCTTCTCCGAATTTGTTGTCGGTGGGTACGGTTGTGTTTTCGCCAGCTGGCGGCAAGTACCGGTTGTTAAGGGGGAGGCCGGGGTTTAAATAGATGGGCTGAGGTGGAAAATAGATCGGAGGTTTCCCTGGAGGTCCCCAAATGGGAATGTAGTAAGGCCGCTGTATTTGTACTTGATTGGGCTGCCAAAGAGTGAACGACGGTTTTCGATTTGGGGGTGTTCGCACCATGTTCGGAGGCGTCCATGGATTATAATAAGCCGCGCGTTTACTTTTCGATTCGGAAGCTCGTCTTCGCCTAACAATATCGGACAGTCTTCTCTTTCTAAGCTCTGGAGAGCCTTTCTCGTGTCTTAAGCGGTTGTGGGAGGATTCGATTGCATTTAGCATACTCGTCAGAAGAAGTATTCCTAAACAAACCCGTAATACTGCCATTCTGTAACAAAAAGAAAAATGAGTTTTTATTAACGATATTATCACTTATAATTGCACAAGAGGTTTGTATTTTACCGAGTAAATTTGGGTTGTTTAGGTAATGAAAATCTGTTGCCTAGCAATTAGACGAGAAAAACTGTCAACTAATAAAAATGCGACACCGCAGGTGGAGCATTTTTAGGTTGACAGTTTTTCGAGTCCAATTGCTAAAAGGAAACAGATTTGAATTGCCACAACCCAAATTTATTCGGTTTAAATACAAACCTCGAGTGTAATTCGGCAGGACAATTTAACGAACAAGAAATTCACCAAACTAATCAATTATTGACAGACGTCAAACTAGTCATATGGGTAAGGATAATGCGATTATTGGTTCGAAAATGAATAAGTGAAAAAACCACTAGTGCATTTGTCGCTGGAAAAGTTGCAGGTAACTTTTGCCGCTGTCAAAGTGACAATTACACTGCGGCTTATGCGATTTTTTATACATGAGTTGAATTGTCTAATTAAAACAAAAATACGCATTGCAGCGGCGGATGGGAGCAACCCCAATTGCGATGGCACGATAAGGGTTAAATTGAGGATTACTACGATTAAATTAGTGTTGAGCGAGCAGATGCTGCTAATGTAACTAACGGCATCGCGTAAATTGGTTAAAATGATAAAATTACGTTGGCTGAAACTTACGTGGAGAGGTAGTAGTAGGTAATAAATAAACGAATGAGGAACTTCACCGTACGAGGAACATCAGCTGAATGAAACGGTTTGGTAACAAATTTCAGTTTTATAGACCTCATTAATCGTGATCGTTGCACGTCATACCTTTACGACGATTTTCGTCGTATCATTTTAGCCTGAAAATCTACAGGAATTACTGGAAAGCGTCGCCGTTTTCCTCATGTTTACATTTTGTTAATAAAACCTAAGGCGTAATACGTAACCGCACCCATAAACTTATTTCGAGTATAATTACGTTGATTAAAATCTTCAGTTAACGTCACTGTAGTAATGCACTTTTTTTCTTTAGTGCCGTAAACTTTCAATGAACGCAAACGTATGAAAAAGTTATTTTTATAGACCACGTGCACGTGTACGTGTATGTAATATATTGAACCTAGATTTGCCCAATATCTGTAGGTACAATACTGATACTATGAACGAATATTGCATTGAAAAAAATCCGTAATTCGTCATTTAGAACAACGCATGACAAAAATACACAATTGGATGACGGACAACATGACCGCCAAATAATTTTCATGAATATTTTTAGCACGGAACATCCATTTGAAGTTAACAACTCGTTAACTACATTTAAACAATGAACAGATAATTCAATGTGTGATTACATGGAAGTTACGCATATAAGGCACGTGGACTGTGTTGCCTTAGTTAGCTACCGTTCTTATCACTGCAAAGACGTGAAGTAACTACACACATTGTAATTTACAATAGTCTTTGAATATAAAAAATCTGATGGATCTAAAGGAATTGAAGAACCCGAGCATTGTAAATAATCGAAAAACACTTACAGTATTTGAACAGATTGAAGAAATGAAGATCTAATCATTTTAAGAGTTGTGGAGAATCAAATCGATCTAAAAAAAATCTAGCATTTTAAGAATTAGAAGACTGAAAGTTCTCAGAATCAGAAAAGTTGGAAGAAAAACGGAAAAATTCTAGAAACCTTTAAAATGTGCTAGGTAAATTGAAAAAGAGGATTTAATAAATCGACGAACTAGAATAACCTGGTAGCTCTAAAAGCACAAGTATACAAAACTATATGATGATCATTATTAGATTTCGTCAACAACTAACTTAAATTCCATAAAAAACATATCAACTCGTTATTGAGAAAGTAATGTTTTTTAACATTCATTTTATCAGTAATGATGCGCATTCGGGATTATTGAACATTTTACTTAATTTAAATGTCAAACATGGAACATTTAAAAAGTTGAAAAAATCTCATTGCTTTATGCAATACTAGAAAGATTAAATTCGCCTCAATAGCTAGGTTTAATATATTGATCTGAGCGTATCTGGGGTTCCTTGTGTCTGTAAGAATTATTTGTGCTCACTCGATTTTTAATAAAAGAACACAACGTATTTGATATTCCTGTAGCGGAATGGAACGTATAATATGAATGTCTTCTTTATTGAATGACTAATATTAATTTGTTTCATTTAAATATTTAAATTTTAATGTAGATTTACGATGAAAAAATCCATGAGACAAGATCAAGGAAATCGATAAAAAAAATTATCAAGTCAGAATCCACGTGTGTATTTTAGTAGACCTTAATAAAATATAAACCTAATGGCATTTCTCGGAAAGCTGTCCTTATAACAGGGTATAGTGAAATGATGATGTGACTTTGGTTGGAAAATGGACAACAAGAAGTGGAAGCTGGTGTGGATCAGAATACCGGAAGTGTCAAAGGCATGTAGAGAATTCTTCAGTGCTGCTGCACTGTACTGAAAGATATGTAAGTGAGCAAACATCGAGTGCTAGTACTTTGCAAATGCAATTCCAATACGTAAAAATATGCCCTAAGTTTCTAGGCATTTGCCTTGATAGCACCGTAACATTCCATATACATTGTGATAAGTAGACCTCTAAATTAAGTATCTGTCGTATGCTTTTAGGCGTCTTCAAAACGTTTTGAATAAAAAGCAAATAATTTCTATTTACCACGCGCAAATTGATAGTCTATTACGTTATGCTCACGGTGGTATAGACTCTATACCACCGCGTGGTTATGCTATATGCATGTGGGGCAATTCTCTCACATCAAATCAGTTTTTATTACACAAAAACGGATTATAAGAATAATGGCTAACGCTTCAAGTACAGAATCCTGTAGAAATATTTTGAACACGTTTCGCATATTGACATTGATCTGCATACATAATATGTATATTTGAAGTATGCATGTATGTTTAACGCAAGAACTAAATACGCTTGCAGTAAAGATATTCATAGCTTCAACACTAGGTACAAGTATAACGTTCCTTTTGTATTTCGAATTTTTTTTGTCAGTTTAATTTGTATCATTATTTGTTCTGTGACAAATGATTTTTACACTTTACATGTTATTTGTAAACTTTGACAATATCTAAATCATTATACTCTGATCCTGGGCAAAAAAATAAATAATATGCCGAAAATCATTGTTAAAATGGTAGATGCCATTTTTACACTCATTGCACTCAATTGAATTATTTGACCAGTGGGAATAGACATAAAATGTGATGCAAATGCAATCTGTGGAAGACCTACTCAATAAAATTTCCACATTCATTCCGGCATCCAATTGCTAATCGATATCGATGACGTCCTAAGGAACTTCTCTTAAAAATCCCCGTCCATAGACACGTAGACACGACTATCAGGAGTGGTGTTAAACAACGAAATAGGATCACGCGTTCAATTTAAATTTTCAGTCGCACAATTGAAACTTTCAACGTCATGCTAAAACTATTTCAAAGTTAGAATGCCATAAATTTTATTAGCCTATTAAAATGTTGAGTAAATTATTCATTCGGATATTCAATTCGGGAAAAAAACTTTCGTATCCCCTCGCAGTTAATTTTTTTTTTCCATGACCAGTATCGCTACAGCCGAAGTTCAATGATATCTGAAGTTTCGTGATTTTAAATCATCGTTTAATCCATAGCCGACAACAAACAGTTGAAGGCGCCTGACAAGGTGTTAGCCCCGCTTCTACTCAGCCAGGTCTGCATTTCTGTGTTTGGGATTATTGGAGAAGTTTTCAGCGTGCCTCAAATACTTACCCAAAAATGTCTACCAGCTCTCCTACTATATCGTTCATTATACAAAAAAATTGTACAACACGTGACAAGTAGATCAGAATCAATGAGTAATAAAATATTACCGATATGTAATTCGAAACCGAACGCACGATTCTGGTATTTCAATTGACGCGATGCGTCTTATTCTTACTTCGTGATTTTCAAAATGCCAAGAATCAGTCAAAAATCCATCGTTGGAAACCATACTCTCCGCATTCCAAAGTATGAAATCACAAGTTACCGTTTTAGATGGATGAAATGGTAAAAATACTGGACCTTCCCTCGAGTAGGAAACTCCATTTGTAGTTTTTCAAAAACCATTCTTGTCCGTGACAGAGTGACCGTGCGAATTATTCGTAAATAATCAAAAATTAAAGTAAACATCATGAATGGACTATTCTCAAATCCACATAAGAAAAGTGGAAGATTTGCTTCATTCGTGGTAATAGGTGGTAAATCATCTTCAGACCGCAACTGTTACAATTTTCTAAAATGAGTAGAGATTTATAGAAGAATATGATTCAGATCATTGAAACCAAAGGATTCCTTTACGATTACCAAATCATGGTGGAAATCCGGCTTAAATTGAAGGTTATGTTAATCGTGCGCACAACGGCACCTCTATACCAATAGATTTTTTCTCATACAAAAACGTGAAAGGTTAATACTTTAATAGCAACGATGATATAAGTTCTCTAACGGAACAAGTATATAAGATTATTTCCTAGCTTTTTTCTCCCTCCACCCGCGAACTAGAATTTTACATAAACTAAACATTTTCACGATATCCGCAATTTGCAGACTGAAAAATCCTAGTTAATAAAGTTGTTTGTTTTTGCTGCATAAGCGCGTTTACGTTTGTTAAAATTAGACGGATAAACAAACTGCGGAAGTTTCTAAAATCGAATTGATTAGAAAACAAGTTTCGTTATGGCGAAAGTTTCGCCCAAAATCCTTCTATAAAACTTATCATACTACTTCCAGATATCATCACTTTCATCGAGTTAGATCCTCGAATTCGTGTGAACTCTACAAAATTTATGTCTTATTAGAGCAAGTTTCACACTCAAATTGCCATCGCTAAAAGGGGGGTTTGAAACAAATTTCTGTATAATAACCGCGTTTAATCCTAAATGGCGATGTACTCTCGCTCATTTCATTTCCATTGGCGACGTCTAAGCGTGTTAATTATTCAAAAATTAATCAGAAATATACTTCGTGTTTATTCATAATGCATTAGCGTGCGTACCTAATTAATAAATTTGTAAACAGTAAATAATAATCAGACTCTCAACGCAAACATTTTTGAATTTGCATCTTCAGAGAAACGGAATTTACTCTCTTCCAACACGATCTACTTTACGAGTATACTGCAATTTTTTTAGTGGAGGCCTTTCTGTTAACATTTTTCTTTAGAATTACTGAACCAATGAAATAAGGGTTTAGTTTAACTGTTACCATAAATTCTTAAAATGAAATAAAAGCGGGAAAGAACGAAAAATGACAGCAGCCATGAAACTATTGCCTGCAATCGTAGGTAAGGAAAATTCCTGGCAACGTTGAGCAAAATAACAAACATTAAAATCGGGGCCTTTAAAAAAATGTATTGTCAAAAAATGTCTGCAGATGTAAGGTATAAAGGATTAAAAAAAACATAGCGCTAAATTTACTCTTGGTTCAAAGAAGTCATTTTTCCGCCTCAATAATGATTTTTTAAAACATTAAATACACGTTTTGAAGCACCAGGAATCCTAATCAAACAAAATCTCGATGATATTGGTCTGCCTCCCTCTACTCTCACTAAGAACCCCTCTCAGATGCAATGAATGTAAACGCATCGAAATGTAGGGAATTTTCGGTTGATATAATCCTTACATGTTGGGATCACAATGCCCGGTTGATGATAAATAGTACTTAAATATAATCAATACTTCTTCGTTTGCTATATTAATGCAATTTTTTGAAAATGTAAATACAAGCTTTTAACTTTATTTTGTGAATTGAGTGTAAGTATTACTGCCAAACGACTTCACTTCAGCCTAAGTTATAAAGTACTTTACGGAAATTACTCCACGAACTGTAAAATCCTTATTAGAAATGAACCAACATTA